GAACACCTTGAGGGGGTGCTAAATAGATTTCTTCTTTCAAGTGTGATTCGGTGAACGCATTTTTGATATCGAAATGGGAACACTCGAGGTCCTCTCTTGCAACAATTGCAAGGAAAAGGCGAAGAGTATCGAGTCGAACAGTGGGGGCGAAGGTTTCGTTGTAATCTTTACCTAAAACTTGGCTGAACCCTCTAGCCACTAATCTGGCCTTGAATCGCTCTACCTTATTATCCTTCGTCTTAACAACAAATACCCATTTCGTTGAAACTAGATTGCTCCCTTGTGGTAAAATGAACTCTTCCCAAGTGCCATTCTTGACCAATGAGTCTACTTCTTCTTGAATTGCAGCTTGCCAGTCTTTCGCGTGCTTTTTGTCTGCCATTGCTTCTTTATATGTATTCGGTATCTTGATCCCGAGTATTTCCGTTGCTGGTAGAGCGGTCTCAGCTTCTGCTGGTGCATCTGCTAAAATAGTCAAGATCTTCGAAGCAATTTCATTATTCGTCTCCTGTTCGAATTGATGAATATTTGGAATGGCAATCATGGCGTGCTCAATTGATTCTGATCCTGGCTTATTTAAGGAAGCAAGTAAGGCCCGAATGATTTTGGAGTCTCTCTGTTCTTCTATATCGTCGTCATCGCTTCTCTTTCTCTTCCTAAGATTGTATCTCAAAGGTGGTGTGGAAGTAGATGCAGATGTAGATGCAGTAGGTGGTAAAGTTTCATTAGGTAGTGCAATATCAGGTAATACACTCTCAGGTAATGTACTCGAATTCGATGGTGTATGATCAAGTGGTAAAGTTATATCCTCAGGTGCCCTTGACTTCGGTGGTGTATGATCAGGTGGTGAAGTTATATCAGGTAAAGTAACATCACTTTCTTTGTTGTTTTCCCCTGCCGGTCTTGTTAAATCATCAGCCACTTGTCGGATATTTCCATATTCATCTTCATCAAAGCGTGGTATTTCAGTCTTTGTTCGTTTTGGTATTGGCAAGCGCACCTCTATCGAGTCTGTGATTATTTCATTTGGTGATATTGGTGGATCGACTGGAATAGACGATGATTCAGGGACATTCTTAGGTCTGCCGCGAGGCCTGCGATCAGGTTCTATATTCTTGGTACCTTGTGATCCAGCTACACAGTTTCTGAGTTTGAGATCCAGATCCCCTCCTTTGTAGCTTTCGTCGATTGTAACACGATAAGAGCGGTAAGTATAACCTAGCTCTGGTGAATAAACCTTTATATGCTTGGTGGTGTCTTTTGAGTATCCCAGGAATATCCCAACCCTTGCTGTGTCGCGAAGTTTATCATGCCTTTGTCCTTTTGGGATGGTTTTGGGGTTGATATAGGCGTAACATCGACTCCCCCAGACCTTGCATGTATCGATATCTGGTAATGTGCCTGTAAATGCTTCGAGTGGGCTTCGATCGATTCCATTTGCATCTGGGCCAATACTAGTGCGGTTTCGAATGTATACGTCGTGCTCGACAGCTTCGTCCCAAAATTCTAATGGTAAATGAGCTTCTTTCAACATTGCTCTCACGTCGGTTTCTGCGGTGCGTATATTGCGTTCAGCTGGACCATTTTGGTGAGACGATACAACCACTGTAACCTCTGATCGCACACCAGTCTTCCATTCCCGGACGGCTTGAAGAAGCTCTGGTGCATTGTCGGTTCTGGCAGCAATTACAGCTACTCCTGTAGCAAGTTCAATTTCTTGCTTCCAGGCTTTCAGTAAGGGTATTGCATCGCTCTTCTGTTTCAATAGGATGACCCAATTTACCCTTGTGGCGCTATCGATAATAAGGAGAAAGTATCTGTGCCCTCGAATGGTCCTTGGGAAAGGGCCAGCAACATCGAAATGGATCAATTCTAGCCTTTTGGATTTTCGTGCACTTAGTTGACTTGGGATTCTGTTAGTCATCTTTGTGAGAGCGCACACTTCACAGACATCAAGAGTTGAAGGGACCTTGATCGGTCTCTGGAGTGTAGTGACTTTGTGCAGATTCCTGATTTTGTCAGGGCCGAGATGATTGAAGCGTCTATGCCAGATAAGGTATCTTTCCTTCTCCGTCATGGTTAATTCTTCGACTTCCCCTTTTGTACCATCAATGATCTCTGCAGAGAGCGCAAAGAATGCAGAATCTTCGTATCCTGGTTTCACATGCGAGATGATATACATCCCATCTTTCATTGTTGCTTTGATGATCTTATTATTCTTATCGTTTTCTGGTGTGAAATACATCTTCTTGAGACTGAATGTACCCTTGAGTCCTGCCTCACAAATTCTCTTGGCTGAGAGCAGGTTGACCCCCAATCCAGGTACATATAGCACACCAGCTAATGATGTCCTTGTTCCATCCTTGCACACCATGTCCACTGTTCCTCGCTCATCCGAGTACATAGCTCCCCCACCAACCGTTATCCTTCGTCGCGGAGTACGAATTAGACTTCTGAATAGAGAACGTTGGTCAGACATGTGTGAAGTGGCGCCGGTATCAGCGTACCATTGCGATGGGGATGCCTTACTAATACTTTCTTTGGTGAGATGACAATGCTCAGAATCAGACTCACTATCGACGACACTTTCAGTAGCATCGGAGCTTGATTCGGCGATATGAGCCTTGTGCTCCCTGCGTTTTTTGTCTTTTCGCACTGGAGAGGTGGATTGTCTTCTCTTCTGTTTGTGCTTTGAATCGGATTTCAAGAGACGCTTGGCGCGACGGAGCTGGAAGCATTTTAGGACTGAGTGGCCAGGTTTGTCGCAGAGTTCGCAAGTGATGATGGATGTGTCGGTCTCCGAGCTTGTGCTAGCCTTACGCTGGCGATGAGGTGGGACATATTTCTTTCCTTTTGCAAGGTGTGCCGAGTCTCCAGAGGTCTGGATCTCTGCCTCTTTGACCTGTAGATGCTTGATCTTATCGTCAATGCTTAGAGTAGAACTGACGACACGGATCATATCAATGATGACTTTGTACTCATCAGGGAGAGACAAGGTCAGGCTTTGAAAGAGTGATTTATCTGTACACAAAGCACCGGCTGAAGCATCCGCAGATAAGAGCTTTCGTCGAAGATCCTTGAGCTTATCCCATGCACCTATAATAGTCATATCAGGGGTATCGTCGAAAGAGAAGGTCTTGATCTTGAGGAGGTACTCGTCTGCTGCGATATCATCGATTCTGGAGTATTTGACGGCTAGATAATCCCAAAGTTTCTTTGCTGTATCATATTCGTCCACTAAAGCCTCATCATCGTCAGATAATGAGCGACAGATGTAAGATAATGCACTAGCGTCGTCCTTAAGAAAGGTGGCCTTTTTGTCGATATTGAGTCGAATCTTTGTAGTGGTACTGCCGCTGCCGCTGGAGACTTGAAGTTCTTCGAAATCCTGGATTAAGTTGTCGGCTGCTGCAATCCGTGCATATTCATGCAATGTCTTTTCGCATGTATAGAACCAACCTTTTCCTCGAAGTTGAATTCTTATTTGACGAGTCCAGCGTTCGTGATTCTCTTGAGTGAGAGGAGGGATGCGCTTGGAGTAATCCTTGGATCCAGTGTCTTCGTTCATTTTGAAGGTTCTGCAAGTAGAAAGCTTGCGTCGATGACCTAGGCGTGATTGATGGTGGAATGAAAGAGTGGAAGAGGAACTGTTTAAGACTGCGCTGTCCCGATTGGGATGTACTAGTGTTTGAAGGGAGAAATTCTCTTCAAGGCGGGGTAATTAAGAATAGTGAATTTTGATTTGTAGATAATGATTTTTGAAGTGATATCGAACACTATGTAGCAGGTGATGCTCTTCAGCGTTAAGCTGGAATGAATGGTCTTTTCAGTAATAACTCGTAGTTTTCTTACTTGAGGAAAAGGCGCGATGTAAGTGGTTACTTCGCTGTCGCTGCTCAGCAATCTGTTTGCTGTGCGCACCTCGTATGTTGACGTCGCGTTGCGTAGGAGCTTCTCGTCGTCAACCTCTCCTTTGGCAACGTAAGCTATTCAAAGAGCTTTCGGCCTTAGTCTTACTGCAGAGCTACCGGGCTCATAACCTGTTCACAATAAAGGAGCAGGCCAGTGGAATGCATGTATTATTGACTATGTAGATTAATTGTACTAAGGTAAAATCTAACTACGAAGTGGAAGTGATATATGCACAGTAGCTTAGAGCACGTGCCACAACTTCCAACATATATTAATAATCTTTTGAATACTTTAATAATAAGAAGTATATAGGCTTCTTAATTATTCGAATTTATAATGAATTGTTAATAAAATATATAATGAAAGAGAAAGGTATAAATTGAAGTGAAAATAAATTATATATTAATATGAGTTATATACTAATAAACTATGTTATATAGATATAGTAATTCCCTTTTTATATGAAAAGAGTAGATAGAAATAAACAACTCTTTTACTCATATATATTATGTATACACATCTTATCAAGTCTGCCCAACAATAAGTAGGGTTAGTATATGTATATATATTTAGTAAATTACTTTTTATATAAAGAGAATAAACAGAATAAAGTAATTCTTTTTATTTTAAAATGATATTAATATAATAATAATTAATTATTAAATAGCTTTAAGGCTTTTAAGAATAAAAGCTTAGAATAAAGTCTAGAGAATATGAGATGGTCATTTAATGATCAAGATGTTAATAATCATGAAGCGGAGGTACAAATTATAATCGATAAGTTGCAATTCACAGTGAGTATGAAAAGTTGACGATGTCAAGATCCTAAGTATCAAAGCAAAACAATCATCAAAACAATCCCAGAAAATCATAATAGTAAAGTTTGTCAAATATATATTGACTATCTAATGGACGAAAAGAAGTGTCTACACAAATCTTCTCTCCGTAATTTATATTTTTGAATAAAAATTACATTAAAAATACTGTACACGATACTCAACAGTATCCATACCTCGTTCAAACATAGGAAATCCTCCAGTTCAGTTCATACCACTCATTTAATCTCCACCTTTTTTCCATCACCTAATTTACAAAAGAGCAATAGCGCCCATGATGACAGCAATCAACCCCATGGAGATGCTAGAACGGCTAGCAGAACCAGTGACAATCATGCTTGGGGATGCAGTCGCTGATCCACTTGCGGCAGTGATGCCAGTGACAGTGACAGAAGAGGTTGGTTGAGTGGGTTTGTTGATACCTGTTCCACTAACATAATTTCCAGAGGTACCGTTGGTAGATGAGCCAGCTGAGTAGACTGGCGATCCTGTAGGAGCGATAGCTCCTGGTACAACAACAGTGGATGAACCAACTGGGTAGACTTGAGATCCAGATCCAGTGGGGGCAACATCTCCTGGTACAACAACAGTGGATGAACCAGCTGGGTAGACTTGAGATCCAGTTGGGAGAATGGCTCCTGGTACAACGATGGTGGATGATGCACCTGAACCTGGAACAATCATGGTTGATGAAGCGACGGTGATACCCTCAGCGGATGTGACTGAAACAGCCTTACCTGGGAGACCAGGGGCGGTAGAGTTTACAGGAGATCCTGGGTAAGCAACACCAGATGGGGAGCTAGCACCGGCAGTTTGAATGATGGTAATGACGGATGCAGATTGAGTCTATGTTTGATTAGCTGTAGAACTTGAAGAAATTTAAAAGGGAAAACTTACAACAGTGAGAATAGAAGGAGAAGCGGAAATGGTGATAACAGATGGTTGAGCACATTCTTCAGAACCTGCACTGCCAGATACACCAATGGCAGAGGCCAATGGTTGAGAGGATCCAGCTGCTGGGGCAGGTGTGGTCAAACCTTGAGATGAGCTGACTGCTTGACTAGCAACTGGAACAACTGTTACGGTGCTGTAAAGCATATTTCCACTGTCAGTGCTAACAGTTGTGCCGCTACTAGCAACAACAGATGGAGATCCATTTCCAGAGTTTCCAGAGTTAGATCCAGTTTGTGTAGAAGCTGGAGTAGAAGCGACAGGAATACCGTTGGTGGAAACCACAGAAGCAGCTGGAGATGAAGCAGTGACACCAGAATTGTCAAAAGTGGATGATGGGGCTGGTCCGGATGCTTGTGCACTACCTTGTGGAATAACGACGGAACCACTTGGGGAAGAAGTTCCTTGTGTTTGAATAGCAACTGTTCTAGTGGCATAGATTGTGGAAGATTGGAAAATTGTCTTGAAGCTTGTTGATGTCTCAAGACTGGTAACTCCTTCGCTGGTCTGGGTCAAAGTGACTGGGTAGACAGTAACGTATGATTGGACGGAAACTGTGCTGTAAATTTGTTCGGTGGAAACACCTTGGGAAACCCCTTGAGAAACAGCAGGGACGGAGGCTACTGGAGCGGAGGCTACTGGAGTTGCGACAACAGTGCTAGTAGCGACACGAGTCGAGGTGCTGTAAACAGTTGACAAGCTAGTGGTTGTCTCAAAGCTGGTTGTACCTTGGCTAGTGTGGGTGAGAGTTACTGGGCAAACTGTAGTGTAAGAGTCAACAACGACGGTTGTGTAGACAGTTTCGGAAGTTTGGACTGGGGAAGAGACAGCTGGAATGGACGTTACTGGGGTTGAGACAACGGTGCTAGTACCAACAAGAGTGGAGGTGCTGTACACAGTGGAGATGCTAGAAGTAGTCAAAACGCTAGTGGCTCCTCCAGTAGTTTGAGTCAAAGTAACTGGACAGACTGTGGTGTAAGAGTCAACAATGACAGTTGTGTAAACAGTCTCGGAAGATTGGACTGGGGAAGAGACAGCTGGGCCAGTAACTTGAGCAGAACCAGATGGAACGACACTAGCACCCTCAGAATCAGTAGTTGCGGAAGGTGCAACAGTGATAGTACGTGTACCAGTAGCGGTTGACGAGGTGTAAACTGTGGAAATGCTGGAAGTGGTCAAAACGTTGGTGGTTCCTCCAGTAGTTTGAGTCAAAGTAACTGGACAGACTGTGGTGTAGGAATCAACGATAACGGTAGTGTAAACAGTCTCAGATGAGAACCCTGGTGACGAAGTAGCTGGTCCAGTAATTTGAGCGGATTCAGATGGGGATGAACCAGATGGCTTCACGATAACAGTCTTGGTGGCAGTCATAGTGGAAGAACTGTAAACAATTGAAATGGTAGAAGTGGTCAAAACACTCGTCACACCTCCACTAGTTTGTGTCATGGTAACAGGGCAAACGGTAGTGTATGAATCGACGATAACGGTTGTGTAAACAGTTTCGGATGAGGAGGCGGATGGAGAAGAACCTCCAGTAACACTAGCTCCACTGGAACTGGAAGTACCAGATGGGCTTGAGATGTTGGCAGATCCAGATGGATAAACTCCGTTAGATGCACTTGGGGATGAACCGGAAGCGACAGATGATGGAGAAGATCCAGCTGGGGCGGTGGAAAGCCCGCTGAGTTCACCAGAGCTGGTTTGAACTGGAGTAGAGGCAGAAACTGGGCAAGCAGTTTGACCAGAGAGAAGAGGGCCTGATGAAACACATGGAGCAGAAGCAGCGGCGCTGCCAGATGGAGATGAGCCATTTCCTGATCCTGAAGCACTTGGGGATGAGCCAGTTGCAATAGAGCTTGATGGAGATGAACCGTTTGATCCCGAAGCACTTGGGGATGAGCCAGTTGCAATAGAGCTTGATGGAGATGAACCGTTTGATCCCGAAGCACTTGGGGATGAGCCAGTTGCAATAGAGCTTGATGGAGATGAACCGTTTGATCCCGAAGCACTTGGGGATGAGCCAGTTGCAATAGAGCTTGATGGAGATGAACCGTTTGATCCCGAAGCACTTGGGGATGAACCAGCTGGGGAGGTGGTCTCACCGCTGAGTTCTCCAGTACTGCTCGAGGTAGCAGCTGAAGCAGTATTTCTTGCGAAGCTCACCCCACTCGATGAAGGAGAAGAACCCGAAAGTTCACTGGACAAGGCGGAGGTCATAGATGCCAAGTTGGTGCTTGAAGATCCAGTTCCGACAGGAACGACAGCAATAGGAGTTGAGCTTGGGATATCGAAAGTAGATGGGGATGCTGATGCAACCGAGGTGAGACTAATTGTGCCAGGAATGGATGACGGGGCAACATTGGTAATGGCCGAAGTAGTAAGCGATGGCAAACTGGATGGGATTGCGCCTGACGCGATGCTGCCGGCCTCAGTAACTGGGCAAACAGTAGTGTAATCGACAACGGTTTGAGTAACAACGGTAGTACCTGCGAGGGATGCTGGGCAATGGATAACATTGGAAGCACAGCTAGTAATGGTAGTGACTTGGGTAGCATAAGCTGTAGATGTGGTCAAAGATGCCGCACTAGTAATGGTACCGATTAATGATCCAGTGGCAGAAGAACCGGATGGTCGGGAAGCAGTGAAGACAGTGCCATTCGAGAAATGTCTCGTTACGGATGGGGCGGAATCAGAAGGAGCGGAATCACGACCAGAGCCAGAGGAACCGGAATCAGAGCCAGATCCTCCGAGACCGATAGAGATCGTACCACCAATACCGATGGAACCCGAGCCACTTGAACCGGAGCCAGTTGAATCAGATCCACTGGAAGCAGATCCAGTGGAAATGGCACTCAAAGCTCTAGTAGAAGTTGGTCTAGTAGTGCAAATGGCAGCTAGGGCACCAGCATTAACAGTAATAGCGGCAGTTGGTGCAATCTCGAATGCAGCAAAGTCGATGTTTGCAACGGAAGCGGCATATGCACCAATGTTAACATCGACAGCACCCGAGATGGAAAGTGGACAATTATCGGTGCTACCGATTTCAGTGACATATTGAAGCAAATCAGCATAGACACCAAGTTCAAAGCCATATCCGATTCCCAAGAGAGAGATGGTAGTGCCAGCCTCAACCCTGCAACGAATGGAAGCTTGTAGCGTGGCTTCACCAGCAAGAACAACGATAGGAAGGTCATTCATGACAGCTCCGTCGAAGTTATAGTCCTTGATAGCACCGGCCAAGAGGTCAACGGTAAGGGAAGCACCTTCTGGGAAGGAGAATTCGAAACCAGCAGAGAGATCGACTTGAGCATCAACGGAGATAACCAAATCGAGGAAAACATTCAAGCCAACCGAGACAGTATCGAGGAGAGAAATGTCAGCAATAAGACCAGCTTCGAAAATATTGAGAGTGTAAGTGGCGGATTCGGCTGCGAAGATATTGAGTTCGATGTGTCCTCCAACATCCTCCAAAGAAATCAAACATTCCAAGTTTGCGGCTTCAACAATGGTTTCGTAAGGATTTTCCAAGAACTCGATCATCTCCTCGACGATGTTGCTTGAAATTTCGGCCACGGTGTTGGTGACGACGGCTGTACCCCATGTTCGACAATCAACACACTTGATCTGGCATCCTGATGCACTTCCAAAGCTGATTCCGATATCTGCACCAAGACCGAGGTCAAGAAGACCAAATACATCCAATGCAGCACTGACTCCACTACAAACACGTTAGCAAAAAAAAGCCTAACATGAATATCATTTTTAGTAATACTTACGTATCTAACAAAACCTCATTCTGTTTCGAGCAGCCAATGTCGTGACTGCAAATCTGCTTGTGGGACGTGTGTCTTGCAGACACACCAGCGTGTACATCAGAAGAAATACCAGTATGAACGACATCTATACGATCAGAATACTTCTCAGGTGCATAAGCTGGTGGATATGCTGCTACGTTTGTAGCAAGGACTGCCCCAACGAGGGCCGTCCCGAGAGACGATGAAAACATGATTGATAGAATAACAATAAACGAAAATGAATGTGTTTAGTATGAAAAAAAAAAAAAAAAGATTGTAACAGGCCTAGAAGGACCTTTCGTAAAGAGAGTGGTAAAGAATGCAAAGCAGGCTTGGAAAGGAAAATAATCATGGAGAGGAGAACATCTTTTAAAGACGACGACCATAACGTTCTCAACCCCTTGAATCTTGGCATCGCGTTGAAGCTATCATGTTGATCATCTCGAATGAGAAAGGTAGATCTACTCTCCGAAATGAAAGTGTCTTTCCTATACTGGAGCCCCCTGTTCCGTACCTGACTTGAAAAACATCATCTCCATATTTTGTATAAAAATATGGGCTACCTTCGGACGAGATTCCAGAAGCGGTCCAGCAACTTTGCTCTCATAGACTTGATCTGATTACTGTCGAGATAAAAACAAGGTCAATGTGGATAACATAAAATAGCATTCTATCAAAGCACTTGATATAATTGGATATAACCTGGTGAGGAAGGTCTGGAAGGGAATGGAGGAAGTGAAGAATGAGAGATTGAGTATTTCCGGACTAGTAATTAACTGATCTACAGTAAAGCACGAGCTTCACACCCATTGGGAATGAATTGCCATACTCGAAAAGTCCCCTGGAAGTTATACCGTACGGCATAAAGTTGGCAGTGGGGTTGACACGTCCCCTTAGAATGGATTTGATGTTTCAAGTCAAAGATTCCAGCCTCCATAAATCGGATTTGTGTACGCATTGTGCTGTACAAGCTGTCCAACGTCCATAATATCTAGTGCAGTAGTGCAGTATTGAAAATAGCTTGTAAGTTGCTAAAGAACTCGATGCCGGTGAACCGTGCCGTAGAGTAGCGGCAGTGGCAGTGGCAAGTCCCTGGAAGCATGGTTATGTCCTTCAGAATAGGGTCTGAGAGTCGATTGAAAGGGGCAATGTTCACCTGTTTGTTTTTGCACCTTATGAGTATGGAGTCGTAGAAAATTGGAATCTTTTGACGAACCAGTGGTACCGATGTCATGAAGAGCTGATCATAGGATACTCTGTACTTTTTTTGATTATGCAATCTCTCTCACGACCCAGGTATTTGGTCTTGAAAGAATCCAAGAATAGATACGACATTTCCAAATTGTGGCTCCAAATTTGCAATTGCTCATACCAAAGTATTCGATCTGCACTTTGGCCGCCTCCTCATGACTCGACAAGGCTATTGTGCGCTAGACCCATTATAATGTTTTAGCGTACACGTCAAGCGAAATTGCCGCGACGTCGCATGAGGCTAAAAGTTATACTCAGCCTCGCATTGACGCACACAGGCTAGATTTGAAGTCTGAACTTTCATCCAATTTACGAAGTATTTTATTTGCCTTCACAAAATATCGGAGCCGAGCAAATAGGCACACTAGGACCTCGAAATCAAGTAAAGCCCGTGATCAGATCGAGGCATTATTCCGCAGTGTAGTCTCTACACCCGCGTCATTGAACGCTATCTAGCACCTTTCAAGCTATCGAAATTATCGGTCTCCTATTATCAAAGGATTCACAGCACAATCATCACCACCCAGCATGTCACTCTCTTCTTACCTCGCCAAAAATTACCTCACCGCCTCCACTCCCTCTTCCAGTACCCCCAAAGACAAAAAACGCAAACGCAAGGCTGCCGCGCAAACCGGTCTGATAATCGCCGACGACGATGCCCCCGGGTGGTCCAATCCTCAAGACAATGCCTCCGACGACGATACCCCCATGATCAGCAATCACAGCACATCCGAATTTCGCAAATCCAAAAAATCATCATGGAAAACCATAGGCGTACCTGCCCTCCGACCACAAAATGAAGACACCGCCGAAGCAGACCGGATAATCCAGCAAGCCGCCGCCGAGAACACTGCCGCTCTGCACGCCGACGAAGAACCTACTATTGAAGAAACCCGCGGCGGGCTGCAAACTCGCGATGAGGCCGCCGCGCAAGCTGAGAAGAAAAACCGAGTTGAAGCCGCGCAATGGGCGCGCGAATCTGCTTCGGGTAAGAGTAAAGCAAAAGAAGAAACTGTGTATCGGGATGCAACGGGTCGACGAATCGACATTAGTATGCGACGTTCTGAAGCTAAGAAAGAAATGGATGAAAAAGCACGAAAGGAATTGGAAGAGAAAGAGGCGCAAAAGGGAGACATACAATTACTAGCAAAGGCGAAACGAAGAGAGGAGTTAGATGAAGCGAGGTTTATGACGGTGGCGAGGGGAGTGGATGATGTGGAAATGAATGAGGAACTGAAGGAAGTAGAGCGGTGGAATGATCCCGCGATGCAATTTTTGAGTAAAGAGAAGAAGAGCAAGAGTAAGACGGGAAAACCATTATACAAAGGTTCGGCAGCGCCGAATAGATATGGTATTCGGCCGGGCCATCGATGGGATGGGGTAGATAGGGGTAATGGATGGGAGGCAGAGAGGTTTAAAGGGGAGAATAGGAGGGTGAGGAATAAGGATTTAGATTTTCAATGGCAGATGGATACCTAACCTATGTTACATATTACAAATTGTCAGTTACGTATACCCCGGGAAAGCGACGATCAATGGAGTTCAGATAATGATAATGCACGGTAGAAACATGACAATCATGTATTTTTCTATATCATCATTTCTTTCCCTATTCTATGTAGGTATTGTAGACGAACTGTGAATGGCATCTGAAAACATCAAGAAAACTTTGCATACACGGCCTAATAGACCACATATGCATATTATACTTGAGAACCATTAGTAAATCATTTCCTCCCTCCCGCATTGGTATTCGCAATTAATATGATCTCATCTTCGCCAACTTGAAAGAGATTTGCCTTCTTTCCACCCCAATGCATCATGATACCTTTGTAACAAATTCGTTGCATGTACCATAGTGACCAATGTACTTTTCCCTCATATCCATATTACCAAACACCCTTTTTTGTAAGGGATTATATCATCTCCTATCTCACATTTAACCCACTATCCACCATTAAATCCCCTCCACATTTAAATTTGAAAATCCGAAACCCTTCTCTACACAAAGATTCGGGCAACCATGATACCGTGCTTTCTAAACTTTTGGTCGCAAAAGTTTGTCAGGTCCATATTTGGTATATTTCTTGATCATCTCCATAAACTCCTTTTTAGTGGTCTGTCCTTCACCATCACCAACTCTTCCACGGAAGTGTGCCAAGATTTGACTAATGGAGACACCTGTTGAAGGCAGACCAGCAATATCTTTGGGCGTAATTGGTCCAGAACCAGAAGGCGATGTAGCTTCTGTAGTCATATCATTAGTAAATGTCTATTATCAAAAGAATTACGGAACAATGAGCACAAAAAGGCATCCTTACCAGCTCCTTGAGAAGGACTACCAGCACGGCTACCACTCGATTTACCAGGGATTGGACTACCAGGTCTTGAAGTCGTTGGTGATCCTCCCATACGAAGAGTGATCTTCTTCTTCTTTGAACCGGTTCCGTCTGACATTTCACCACCAGTGGCTTCTCCGTCGCTTGTGGCACTTTGTGGGTTGGGTGTAGAAGAACTGATTCTTGAAAGCTCGTTTGGATTCACCGACATCTTGACAATAGATGATTTTCTCTGAGGTTGACCAGGAATTGGAGTAGATGTACCTGTAGGTTGAGATGAGCCGACATGCTTCTTCTTATGCTTCTTTCTGGAAGACTCATTTCCACTAGATTCTGAAAGGTTTGGGGATCCAGCTCTCTTGAGATTCTTGGATTTCTTCAAGGGATCAGTGTGCTTAGGTCGACCAGAAGGTGTGGTGTTGCCTTTTGACGAAGTACCTGAAGGCTTTGCTTCAGCCTTTAATTTGGCTTTGGCCTCCTCATCCTTCTTCTTGTCGATCTCCTTTTGCTTATCTTCATCGGAGGTATCATCTTCGCTCTATTAAATGTTAGTAAGTAGATCAAATGACTTTTGCAAAATACATACATCCGAAGAAGCATATGGATTGCTAGAATCACTATCATAGATGAAATTCTTTTCGCGTTTCGTTAAAGCCTTTCGGACACCCTTTCCCAATTTCTTCTTTGCCTCCAATTCTTGTTCCTCTTTAATGAAGTCTTTTTCAACGGTTTCTTCATCCGCTTCACCAAACAAGTTGGCACCTCTTTGATCTTGCTTGATTCTTTCCTGGGCATCCTTTGTATCTTCATCCCTATCTGGCTCAACTGTGGCAAGCTCATCATCATCCTGGAACAAATCATCAGCATCAAAATCAAGCTCATCAATATCTCTTGTTTCATTTCTGCTTGACCCCTTGAAACTTGCACTCTCTGTCTTGACGGTGTACAACTTATTCATCCCTCGGATATTTTCCTGAGTAGCACGTTGAGCTTCGTTTCTCTCTTGGGTTTTCATCGCCCATCTAGATTCTTTAGTCTTCTTACTCAACAAAGCTTCCGCTTCATCGATTGTGAGAGTGTTGAATTTATTTTTCGAGGTGAACTTGTACCACTTCTCAACTGGAATCATCTTGAAAGCACTTCCCTCTGTGAAAAACATAACATTGACTTCTGACAAAGCACTCTCATAATTACCGACCCAAGTATTCTTGTTGTCAGCATCTTCCAGGTGCCAAGGTAAAGCTTCCTCATATCTAAGATCGGACTCTTTCTTTTGCTCTGCTGTCTTATCTAAGCGATGTACTTGAGTTGTCTTTTCATTTCGGAAAGCTTGAGCTTTCTTAGCAGCTGCTGCATTGGCATTATTGCCAGTGGGAGCTATTTGTGCACGATCGGCAGCCTTTTGCGCCTCCTTCTCGGCCTTCAATATCTCTTGTCTTTCTCTCTCCTTGGAATCGACAGCATCCTCCATAACTACATCTTCATCCTTGAATGCTTTGCCCGGAGGTGGCTGCCGAGGGTCTCTGCGATGAAGAGAAATTGGTCGCGTGAACTCGTTCTGATCCGTCGGGTCAACCTCTTTCTTTCCAGAAAATCTCATTGCATGATATCGGATTCCATCACGCAAAGCCCGCCTGGTAGTGAAGAGAGGATAATCCGTGACTTCTCCCTTGGGAGGATGAGTCCAACCACCGTATGTTTGTCTAGGCGCAACATTGCCATTGACAGGAATCGGGCCTCTCGGACCAGGTGCGCGTGGACCAGAAACGTTGTTTAAGGATGTAGGCCCATTGGGTCTGGCTGGTGTCAAGCCGTTCAAGTTCGCGCCGGCAGGTGTAGAAGATGGATTTGGTCTGCGGATAGGTTTCTTTCGTGGTCTCAAGGGATCAGCAGCCTTGACTTTACGTGTAAATTGCGGTGCGCCGCCGCTGTTGGGAGTTGGGGTAGGAGTTCGACCATTCGACATGCCAGATGGGGAGGCAGACATCTTGAATGATTATTCGGAAAGTGACTAGATTCTTGCTGACGGAGGTTCGACCGATACAGTAGACTGGACAACCGATAGAGAAATCTTTTGGAATGGACAGACTCAATGAGTTCCTTCTTTCTTGGAATGGGGTTGAGGGCTTTTGTTGCCTTGAGATGGAGCCTTGAATGATGTTTCGGTCGCAAAAGCTGAAAAGAACCGGTATCTTTAATCTTGAAGTTGTGTACATGTGCTATTTATCTCTGTCGAAAAATGTATCTGAGTAGGTATAGATGAATTGAAATGCAATCCCTCCAACGTGGTAGTTGATTGTTCTTTGTTGAAATTAAATTTGCTTTGTGGATCAACTTGGTTGACTTTCTGATATGCTTCTACCATCCAAGATCCAATTCAGTTCTGTTGCAATGACAAGCAATTAAACCCCACTAGTCCTAAAGTCGTATGGTGACTCCCGGATCGGCAATCCCTGCTCAATTGTAGATAGTAGTGTCATATTGTTCCATTTTATACTAGGGTGGCCGTAGTACCAAGCGCCAAAAGTCAAAAAGTCAAAAGCCAAAGCTTCTCGTGCTGGCCCAGACATAAATTGTTTGCATCACATTCACTGGGAAGACTTCGAAGAGGGGAACATACACTTTGCTCATAAAGTATCTGGGTATACTCTTTGAAGAATTCACATTTCTATCCACATCCTACATCTCACATCTCACATCTCACATCTCACATCTCACATCTACCTCCAACAACAACAACGATCACCTACTTCTTCTTGATAACCACTTTTTGATTGAAAGAGGGAGGGGCATCTCAACAACTACATTCATCCCAAAGAGAAGAAAATGAGATTATTCTAGACCACCAATCCACCAAACGAAGACATAAGGGAACGGTTCGACAACAACCACGACGACATATTCCATCGGAATTCATCATAGGAAAGTATCTCATGATTTAAGCATTTACGTCGATTCAAGTCAATTCAAGTCAATTTAACCCTTTCTTCACACCCAATGCGAAAAAAATCATCCGAGATCCATATTGAAGATCAGGCTTCAAGAAATCATCACATGATCAGTCTTCATTGATTCAATTCACTTCCAGAATACAGCCTATATCTACTTCCGAGGTTGTAGTTGCCATCTAGAAATATACTAAGAGGCATTGTTCAATATATCAACCTTTGATATCAAATTGCTATTCTATCACGGAAAACTTCAAACCAACTTGTTATCATATAGTTGCAAGGATGCTTCCAGCAGGGAAGGATCAAGCTGGGCACCTGCCTAGAGGAGATTTTGGTGATAACGGACTTGAGGACCGCCTTCGAGGTCTCATTCTTAATAATGCCAATGTCATCACGAATAATGAAAACATCAATATGCATTCTCTTCCTGCAACTGGTGCCGCTAGTGATGTTAGTGCCAAGCTACCACCACACATGCTCACAGCCAGTCCATCGGAGCAACAGGAATACCTTTCCAACATGACCTCCAAAACTACTGGAGCATCGCAGCATATCCCCAGGAACACTGCTCCATTATCCCCTCAACCTGGAAAAAAGAGAATGAACCAAGCACAAAGGCGACAGATGAATGCTCAACTCTCAATTCCAGTCAACGCTGGAAAACCACAGCACCATCAGCAAACAGGCCCATCACCCCGAAACTACACACCCAATTCAGGACAGCAGCATTCAACGCCATCTACACCGCAATACTACAACAACAATCAAAGGAACAACCAAAGACCGCAACAAACTTACCAACAAGGACAATTCTCTCCACAAGTATCTCATCAACAGACCAGGTCTCCTTATACCCCTCAAATGGCATATCATAACTCTCCTAGGTCAGGTGGTTTTTCGAATCAAGCGACTCCTAGTCTTCCGTTTCAGAGTCCTGTATACCCTCAGCAACATCAACAGCATTCTTGGCAGAACATGAATCAAACAAGCCCCGGGTCTAATTCTTTCGCTCAAAGACCTCCACCACAAAATCGACAATTGTATCATCCAGGTCCTTCGAATTCTGGTGGACAAGGACGGAGAAATTTTGGAGCAACTACTGATGAAATGATGGGGCAGGGTGCATTCTTGGACAGATTGGCTGAAGAGTGTGTTCCGAAAATAGCGATTGATATTGATGAGGCAAACAAGAAAGAGCAATTTCGAGCTCATGTTGAAGAGATTTGTAAAGCAGCGATTACTGAACATGAGCGAGAAAACAGTGGCAATAAAGCATTTGATTCTTCGACTGTACAATTGAAATGCTACGGAAGTTTGAGTTCGGGCTTTGCAACCAAAGGATCTGATATGGATCTTGCAATTCTAACACCATTCTCAAATCCATCTGCAGAGTCTTCGGAGTCTCAAATACCACGGCTGTTGGAGAAACGATTGCTCAGCTTAGGATACGGCGCACGATTACTCACCAGAACAAGGGTTCCTATCATCAAGCTTTGCGAGAAACCACTCCCAAAGCTGATGGCAGATCTTTTGGCGGAGCGTGATAAATGGGAGGGCGGTTTGGGCGAAGGTCAAGATGATGATGCAGACGACAAGCACTTAGACAGTCATACGACAAAGTCTCCTGAGCCAACCCCAACAGAGACACAATCGAAAGCTAAGCCATTGACCAAAACTATCAGCAACACAAGCCAATCAAATAGCAAAGGAGAGGCACAACAGACTGATAAGAAGGGTATCAGCTTAAAGCAGAAAGAACACCAGAATCTTATTGACTACCATATTTGTGCGAAGCGTGCTTTGAGAAAACATGGCGGGCGCGATTTATCTGTGAACTCTACTGAGCTTAATATGAAGGAAGCGAAAATTCTCAATGAAGTTTCTCGGGCTTTTATTCTTGGATTGCATTCTGAGGACTTGTCAAAGCGGGTATCCGATTCTCCTTCCATCTCTCCATTATTTGATCCTTCTGCGACTTCTGTACAACGATCGCTGAATAGAATTTGCACACAAATCGAAGGGGAAAGACTAGCAATGGCATGGGATAAGCGGACTATATTGGAAGCAACTGACAAACAAGAGACGGATGCTCTTGCTGTTCTCGAGGCATGGAGAGTTTTACGGAATAAAACAGGACCCCTTATCGAATCTGATATTTACAATAGACAATTGCATACCGCCACAGAACGATTGAAGAGGATTCATTCTTTGCGTTTCGCATATCTCGACCAGTTAATGTTCGAGAGTCCAAAACAATACCTCGCGAGAGTCGAGAAACTCAAGGAAGATCTTGAAGGGAAGGGGTTACCCCAAGACCTCATCCGCCCACGTAACTTAACGGAAGAAGAAGTTATTGGCCAGTTTGTTAAACACTACATTGATGGCATCCACGATGTTCATATTCGCGATACCTTGCAAAGTATGGAGGGAATAGTCACGTTGAAAGATGTAGCTCGCAGACATCAAATTTTGCAACTGGCGAAAGACTATGAACATGCTCTTGAAGTGAATTTCTACGATGAGGAAGCAAAACCTCACATTGAAAGATACATTCCAATTTTGCATGATCTAGCCTCTAGACCATTTTCTATTGATTCTTCACAGGCAGAGTTGATAGCAATCATCCGTACTCTCCCTGACCCAACTCAAATATCACCCAACAAACCTCGAGACCGATACAAGGATCACCTTGAATTTCCCAAAGACAAGGTTGGAATTCAATGCGATATCAATTTTTCGAACCATTTGGCTTTGCATAACACATTACTTCTCAGACTGTACTCTCTTTGTGACCCCAGAGTTAAGATTGTAGTATTATTTGTGAAGCATTGGGCCAAGGTTCGAGGAATCAACACTCCATATCGTGGCACGCTTGGAAGTTACGGCTATGTACTAATGGTTTTACACTACCTAATGAACATTGCCCAACCTCCAGTTCTACCAAATCTTCAGCATATGAATAAAGATCCACCTGCACATCTTTCTCTTGCCGAAAAAAAAGCCCAGACTACTTGTGATGGCCATGACGTGAGGTTTTGGAGGAACGAAGCAGAGATCAGATCTTTGGCAGAGCGTAAGATGTTAACACACAATCATGACTCCGTGGGTATGTTGCTTCGGGGATTCTTTGAATACTTTGCACAGAGTCAACAGATGACAACGGTCCAAGGAAGAGGATTTGAATGGGGCCGTGAAGTTTTGAGTTTACGATCAAACCATGGCATCCTTAGCAAGCACGAGAAAGGATGGGTTGGTGCAAGAACGGTCGTCGAAACCACGCAAATCGCAGCTCCTCCTACCCCTACGACACCAGGATTTTCGACTCTCGCGACCCCAAAGGAGAACACTAATAGTTTATCCGCCGCGCCAGAAGGCAAACAGCCTCCTAAGACTATGGAAGAAACCAAGGAGGTTCGCCATCGGTATCTCTTAGCAATAGAAGATCCATTCGAGATTGAGCATAATATTGCACGTACTGTGACTCACAATGGAATTGTATCAATTCGTGATGAGTTCAGACGTGCATGGGGTATCATCAAATCTCTCGGAACTAAATTCCAATCGAAAGACGGACTTTTAGATCCGATTCCAGATTCTCCCAACGACTCCAAATACGAGTTACAGATTCTACTGGATACTATTCACGGATGGGAAAAGAAAGTAGTTGCGGCTGGAAACGTGCAAAATTCCATGTGAGACATGGACATCTCAGGCTATGTCGAGCAAAGGATAGACGGACGGAAAAACTGGAGCACTTGGCGTTGTTGGGGAGGCGATAGATTATTATTGTATGATTAGATGAGAAATGGGAATTAGCTCTCATTACAAACAGTACCAATGTGCATGATTTGTTGGTGATTAACGATAGTCTTCCAGTTCCACGTGAAAAATCCAAGCGGATTTGGTCCCCTGCTTCTAGCAAAAGATAGTTCGCATTGTAAATATTGCTTTAGTACTTCCCCGCATATTGGAAGCTCCAGATTTTCTCGATATCTTTTGATTTGATTCATCAATACGAAGTGTTGGAAATTCTATGCCAGCATGTCTCGTACCCCCATGTATGCTTACTCGTGCACAAGCGGAGGTTTACCCCAATGACCTTAATAAAGTTCGGCGAGTTCTTATCTTGGGGAATTTCCCCACGGATATGGAAAAGTCCCCCCACAAGTGCAGGCAATTTCTCCAGGATTTCTCCACGATTACCGGGATTGCTATAGGACTACTCCAGGATTGCTCCAGGATTGCTCCAGGATTAATATCGATTAATGCGAGGCGAGTATCACTATTGGAACGCCACAGGTAAATACGCAAAAATGATGAGTGCGGATTGGTGCAATTATTACTTCAATCATTTCCGTGTGGAAGCAAATCCTTGGGAACGGTGTAAAAGATTGTACGGCGCAGTAGACCATGTTATAGCTATCAAAGTCCCATGGGGAAAAACGATAAGTAGTACATATACAATTCAAACCCCTTGGTTGAGGTTACACCTGCTTGTCAGTTCTATCTCATTCATTGTACCTTTGTAACTTCTTTCTTGCTATCAATTGCAGAAGAAGTCAATCGACCGAGGAGGAATTCACTTCAATTGCGTCCGTTGTCTTATCACAAGAAAAGTCAATCAGCGTTGTGAATAGGAGAACAAATTCAAGATGTTCAACACCACTAACAAGAGATGGTACAATTGGTCAGTATCGTCTGGAAACTTCAAACAGTTGAACCAAAATCTAATTTCTCTTCAGGTACATCTCTATGGTGGCCGCCGCATGTATGGTGTTGTATGGTTATGATGCTTCCGTTTTCAATGCTTGTCAAAACTCCAAACATTGGGTTGCATACTTCGATCACCCCGTGAGTGACACAATCATCCGAATAAACAACGACTACATGCTAATATTCTCCAGAGCACATATACTCTTGGTCTCGTCAACACATCTTATAATATCGGTGGTATCGTGTCTGGATTCTTCTTCGGTGGACCAATCGTATGTGGAATTTCAATCATTTGTTGAAGCATTCATACGCTAACATGACTTAGGCCGATAGACTCGGACGAAGATGGGGAATGGGAATCGGTTGTTTCTTAACCATTATTGCTACCTTCGTCCAATGTTTTGCACCAAGGGGACACTTGAATACATTCATTGGAGGTCGTGTCATCATTGGTCTTGGACAGGGAATTGCTTTGAGTATGTATCAATCAGAATACTGTACGAAATCACATCTAACAATAGTATAGCTGCTGGACCAGTTTACATCGGTGAACTTGCGCCACCCGAGATCCGTGGTAAAATCATGGGTTTCTGGCAATTGTTCTACTCGGTCGGTTCATTCATTGCCTACTGGATTGCCTTTGCCACCGGAAAACACACCGCTGCTCTCGGAGATTGGGATTGGAAGACCATTGTCATTTTCCAAATGTTGGTTCCAATCATCATCTGTATTCTCCTCCCTTTCATCCCCGAAACTCCTCGTTGGTACATCTCACACGGAAATGTTGAAGGAGCCCGTCATGCTCTTCTCCAAGTCCGCGACACTGAACAAGAAGTCGAAGATGAACTCCTCCAAATCAGAGAAGCCCTCGAATACGAAAAAGAACAAAAATCTACCAGCTCCTACAAGGCTTTGTGGATGGATAAATCCGTCCGCAAGAGAATGTGGATTGCTTTCGTCATCAACGCTGGTCAACAACTTACTGGACAGGGTAGTCTCAACAGTTACTCCTCGGCTATCTACAAGGGAATCTACAAAGACGCCGAAACTATCAATCTTATCAACGCTATCAACGGCACCTGTGGTATTATCTTCACTCTCAACGCCGTCTGGACCGTCGATCGCTATGGACGTAAATTCCTTTTCATCGTCGGAGGTTTCGGAATGGCTCTCTGCATGATCGTTTTCGCGGCCGTCGGGATCGCAACACCAGATTCATACTATATGAGCGGCACAACGAAAACTCTCACCAAAGATCAACCCGTCGGAATCGCACTCACTTTCTTACTCTTCTTGTTCATCTTCTTCTACAAACCCACTTGGGGAGCCACAACTTGGATCTGGACCTCCGAGATCTTCAGTATGAATGTGAGAGCTCAGGCTGTGGGTATGTGCAGTCAGTGGCAAAACGTGTCGAACTTGATCTTCAATCAATTCTTCCCTGTTTTCCTGGCGAAGTGTAATTTGTAAGTTTCTTCCGTCAGTCTCTCTAATACTTGTACGTCTAACTAACATTCCCTCTCTCAGCAATACATTCTTTTTCTTCGGCGGTATAAACTGTCTCCTGGCCCTCTTCGTCATCTTCGTGGTCCCAGAAACCAGAAACATCATGTTGGAAGAAATGGACGTGCTCTTCGGAGGCGTAAACCATATTGAGAAAGGAGGTGCGCAGCTGGGGCTGGAGGATACCCACCATGCGCATGTGCAGCATGTGGAGAGTGAAGGCGCAGATATTGCGGGCGTGGAAAATGAAAATGTGGTCATGCATGAGAAGGTTTAGATTCTGCAATGCTGGTCTGCTAGATGCGTATTGGTATTGGGATTGACATTTAGATGATGCAGTAGTGTATGGGTTTGCATGATGGGTTTTTTTGGATTATGTGAAGCTGGTATGACTGGATTGTACCTACTCACCTACCTACCTGTGATGAGGAATTAGTTAATATGAGATAATGCTATGTTAATTATTTATGCATTTAATTGAGAGTTTTTTTTTGTCTCTCTAATTGTAAGCTTTTGTGCATTTTTTGAATGTTATCCTAGTGAAAATCTGCAGATTGTTCAGAACTCTCGGATATGAGAATTGGGTTGGGATTGTAGAGACAAAGGAAAGAGCATTTTCTTGTGAATCCCTCCCTCACAGACACATTTCCCTATGATTTCTAATTGTCACCGAGTCTTATGATTACATTGTATCCAGGAGATAAATGGCCTATCACAGAAAGGAAAGTACAAATCGATCTCCAAATATCGCTCACATCACAGTTTATGAATTCATGAATTAAAATCTGCCAATGATTTGATGCTCAATCGAGACGTTTCTAGCAAGTGTCTTGGTACCAAAGATATGGGTACGTACTTTGCTAAAACATAAAGAATGATATTTGGATTGTTTATTTCTATCAAGATCCACGAAATTCACTAGAAACTAAGGCTTTGATTCCTCGTGCGGGCTGATCTTGGTCTCTTTATTCCAAAGCAATACCAATCATCCGCAATTGAATAATCTATAGTGCATGGTCCTCAGTAATCAAAGACCAGGCTTCAAAAGAGTATCAAACTCCGCGAAACTGAAATCCGCAGGCACGGTACCCGAATCTCCATTTCCAGTTGCATACAATCCGAGCATCATTCCTGTGAATGCAGCGCCTATGGGTGGATCAGCCGTTATTTCCTCACCTATTGGTTCGCCCATCCATTGTATGGCTTTTTCGTTGGGTTCATCATCGCATGTTTTATAGCCTAATTTGTATCCTTCGTCTGTACACCAGATGTACAATATTACATCGCCTCTGGTTTGGAGCTCTCCGATACTGTGAGCCTTGGCTTGGCCGTTGACGAAGACTTGACTGATGACTTTTTGGCGGGATTCTTGGGAACTGCCCTTAATTCCGATGTGTGCGTAAGTTAAATGGTTCCAATATACTACCGTTCCTGCTTCCATATGGGTAGAAGTGGGATTGAAGGAGAGCCGAGTAGACCAAACTCCCACGCGGGATGTTTGTTTGCGGAAGAAAACAGTAGGGCATGCTGGACTGCCGAGTGTGTATGGACTTCCAAATAAACGCAAGCTAGATGGATGAGTAGTTATCTCGAAATCTTGTCTTTGGGGAGTATCTAGAGTAATGATTAGCATGTTCGATTGAGAATAGGCATTCGAGCATCGTGTGCTATATTGAGGATCATACGGGGTGAACTTACTCTTTCGATACCACCCAAGTTGTAACTTTGGACTTGTGAATTCATCACGCCACTTGGCAGGTTGCTGTATCTGATATAATACTGGACCCTCGCCTTGAAGGGTGATTTTCTTGCCTTCGTTTACAACTGGCCAGTCATCCTTCCACGTCATAGGTACGAGAAAAGTCTCCCTTCCTAAACTTTCATATCAGCTGACATACTTTTAAGCTGCTAAATTTCTCCTCTTACCAAAAACAGAAGATTTGACTCCATCGGCTAGTATTATAGGCCGACATGCAAGAAGAACGGCCCACCAATTTCCTTCTTTATCTTCAACAATGTCAATGTGGCCTGTGTTAACCACTTCATCACCTTCAACTCCGATTTTCCATAATGGAGCATCGATAATTTCCCATGGTCCGAAAGGTCCAGTTGATGAACGTGATACCCATTCACAATGTCCCGATTCGGTACCCCCTTCAGCAGTAAAGAGATAGTAGAATTTCCCTCGCTTGAAAATATGGGATCCTTCTGCAATACCCGACGGAGAAGAACGAATTACCTGGGGAGCAGATGTAGAAGCCCCAGTGGAAATATCAATAGTAGTGATATGGATGGCAAAATCTTTAAGGGGCTTTTCGATTGTACGCTCATGCTTACGTCTAGTGGTTGACAAATAGACTTTTCCGTCATCGTCAAAAAACAACTTCGATGATTGTTAGCGACCAAATCATCATATTTTTCCGTCCGAGTGATCTAAACTAGGCATGAGCACTTACATCTTGATCAAACCCCACTTCATCAAACCAAACTGGTTCGCTCCACTCACCCCCGAACACATCCTCCGCTTTACACTTAACGTAAAATCCTCTTGGCCAGACCCTTTGATCTTCTTGCGGCCTATACCTATCAAAACACGCAGCAGTGATATAAAACCAGCCATCATGCTCCCTGATAGTCGGAGCCCATATTCCACCTCCAGGTTCAGGGGTCCGAATATCAAGCTGGGAACGACGGGTTAAGGCATGGGATATGAGTTTCCATGATATCAGATCAGTGCTGTGATATATGGGGATCCCGGGAAAGTATTCAAAGGAAGATGTGATGAGGAAGTAATTATCGCCAGAACGGATGATGGAGGGGTCCGGATGACTTCCCGGGAGGATAGGGTTGGTGTAGGTATTAGGTTTGGTCATGATGAACTCAAAGTATGGGGAAGTAACTTCAAGATCATCGATGAGGCTCAACTTTAAGGCGTGAGAATGTACTTTATTAAATAAAGTCATGTTTATTTAAAGTGCCTGCATTCTAGTATCAATGTATCATGCATGCGGCCACATGGTTTAGATGGAAAGTAATATAATTGGTGGATCCTAATTCTCCCCCACCGCAAACTAGCGTAGGAACTGACAGCTAGAGCGTGCATTAGTTCCCGTGACGGTTCAAGTCTGTAAACTTTATCAATCTTACAACAAACAGTTGGTGGTCAGACAATCCTTCAAAATTTCTACCAGCATTTTGACATTACTGCTTTAAATGCTAGAGGCATCAAGAAATTCGTTAGATTCCAACGTGGTTCCTCAATTCTCAAGCGAAATAGCAGAAAAGATCTCGTTATTGACAAGCGTTTTCATTGCTTGGCGTTTCGAGAGCTGTCTTCCTTCAGTGTTTAGCCTGTATGCTTTGAAAATCTTCAATCTAGGCTGATATAATTAACTTCCTCTCTCGGGTGGAGCTTGGATTAAAAAGGCGGTAGATCTACTTGATCATATCGTAGCAGTGGCCAACGTGGACATCATGACTCCTCTCTCGGTGGAGTTGGAGTCCGAAATGCATGTCTTCTCCATCCCGGGGTATGTTGAAGAGGTAGGTACTTGAGATTTATGAAAGAGATCTCTGGCTTTCCTCATTCCAATTTTCTCGTTGTACTTCGTCCATACTCCTCTCATATCTGCGAAAATTGAACACACGCAAAAATGCATCTCAATTCCCATTCCTATAATATTCTCTCTGCTCTCTTGCTCTCCTCATTGCCTAATCTTTCTTCCTGTGCTGAAATTGTATCTTCAACTCTTTCACGCCCAGAGATCATTGTTGCTCCCATCCAACCTGCCAAGGCTCACTTGGCAACTACCGCACTTTCCACGCCCCGAACTCGCACATGCCATGTCTCCTCCCTGGGCTCTGGCCGCGATGATTCTCCTGCCTTACTTGCCGCCATCAAATCCTGCAACAACGGTGGTGTTGTCCAACTAAACGAGACTCTCTACACAATCTCCACCGCCCTAGATCTTAAGTCTCTCCAATCTATCGACTTCAACATCTCGGGCACCATTCAATTCTCCTCTGACATAAGTTACTGGACAGCCAATAGTTTTAAGTATGCTTTCCAAAATAGCAGTGCCTTTTGGCAATGGAGTGGAAATGACATCAATTGGTATGGTGGAGGAACTATTGATGGGAATGGGCAACCATGGTGGGATGCTTTTGCAAAAAATAGTGCTCTTGCACGACCGATATTGTTTGTCATGAATGGAGTGACAGGAGGAAGTATGAGCGGGTTGAAGATGAAAAGTCCACCGAATTGGTTCAATCTCATCACGGGCAGTCAGGATGTGCTTGTTAGTGGCATGACGTTGACGGCAGTGTCGAGTAATTCTAACCCAGTCAAGAATTCTGGTGGGTTTCCCCTTTTATTTACCAACTTTCATTCGTTTATTGCGGATACATCAGACTAACGAACACTTGAAGATGGCTGGGACACTTACCTCTCTTCTCATATCACAATTCAAAACTCAACCATTCTTAACACCGACGACTGCGTATCCTTCAAACCCAACAGCAGTTCCATTATCGTCCAGAATCTTGCATGTACAGGTTCTCATGGCATATCCGTTGGCAGTTTAGGACAATACGTTGGAGTGACTGATATCGTTGAAGATATATACATTTACAACAATACACTAAGCAAAGCCAGTGATGCGGCGAGAATCAAGGTCTGGGCAGGCGCAGTACCGAATTCGGATGGAAGTCTACCTTATGGAGCAGGTGGAGGTAGTGGCGTGGTGAAGAATATCACGTATGACAAGATGACAGTTTCTAGTGTTGATTGTAGGTTTTATGTTATATCATCAGAGATTGGGTTATTTCCCTGTACTAATTGGGAAATGCTAGACTCGATTGAACTCACTTCTTGCTACATGCAAACTACTGCAAATTGCAACGCTTATCCTGTGAGTACTCTACTTCATCATCCTCTTTTCTCTCACAAGAAGTACAAGATCAAGTAGCTGACGATTCTACCAGACGAAAATGACAATACAAGATGTAGTATTCAAAAACTTTGTGGGTGTTGCAAGCACAAAACACGACCCTAAGGTTGGAACTTTGGTGTGCAGTAGTGCTTCTGTGAGTTCATTCCTTTTATCTCAAGTCACATAATCCTATCTCAGAAATTATGAGCCGCTTGTCAGTGACTCCAGACTAACGAGTGATAAGTCATGCATAAACATCGCAGCTCAAAACATCAATATCACCACGCCGAGCAAGAAAGCTGCAACATGGACTTGTACGAATGTGAACAAGTCTTTGTTAGGAATCAATTGTGTTTAGGGGGAATTGAAATAGTTGAGCAGGCGAGAAGAAACGAGGAAAACAGTACGTTAGTTGTTCAGTAGTGGCTGTTGATGGCAAAAATATGTTTCTCGGCATGAGGTTGTTGCGAGACGAGGAGATTGATCGTAATTCAATGGCAATGAAAAACATCAGACACTATTTTGACTAGGTGACAATATCAAAAAACATGAATCGAAAATAGGTAGTTGAATTGACATGTGAGAGGTAGGAAATAACACAATAGGCTTACTTGACATTACGAACCACCAAGTATTTCAGGATCGAAGACAATGTAATAAGATTACCATAGAGCTCACCGGTAGTTTATTATTTGAATTTAGCGAGAATGGAGATAAGAAAGCGGTGACCCCAACACAGCGGGCAGAAAAGAAGACTTGCATTTTACCCCTCTAAAATATTTTTGAAGAAGTTCGTCATAGACATCACTAAAAACACTCGAAAGATTATCAATATGCCGACTGAATTAGAAGAGGTAGAACTCAACTCTTATTCTATTCATATAAATCATGCTAACTGTTATTGAAGCTCGTCGATTTTATATCGCATGGAAATACTCAAGTCCGGACGATTGGTAATTTCAAATATTTGAACCACCCGCTCAAACTTTGACTGATTTGCGCCATAACAGCCGTCGAGAATTTGATTCCATATTCATTATCTCAGCCTTCGATATTCAAGACAAATGAGCTTCTACCAGTAAAGGATTTAAAATTACTGGTCCGCGACTACAAAGTACGACTGCAACCTCGCAAATACAACCGTTGGTAGAGGCGCAACTAACGCCTGTACAGCAAATCGCCAAAGATGCAGTGACAATTCTCATAAATCTGTCGACAGACAAGGAGGTTTTGGAATTTCTTGCGAGTGATAAGGAGTTTATCAATACTTTGTTCAATAAATTGACAGTATGTCGATCTCTTTTATTAGTCTCGAAACCGACAGTATCTAATTGTCCTTTCCTTCCAGAATCCCGCAGAACCAAATGCAAATCTCATTGCGATGCTTTTCGCAAATCTTGCGAAATGGGACGACCTGAAGGAGATCATATTTCTCGAACGTCCGGCGCCAAAAGAATTGACCTCGAATAATCGCGCGATCGATCAACTGATGGACCTCTTCGTGAAGGGTGCAGATGGAACATACAATAAAGAGGCCGATTATGACTACCTCGCATACTTATTTGCAGATCTAGCCAAGCATGAAGAAGGACGAAAATACTTCTTGACAAAACAAGAATACGATGGGGTTGTACCTCTTACGAAAATGACGGTTTTCACCGAACACAAATCAGACATTCGTCGAAAAGGAGTTGCATCGACGATTAAAAATGTTGCGTTCGAAATCGATTCACATCCTTCATTCTTGTCAGAAGATGAGATCAATATCTTACCATATTTACTGCTACCGATTATGGGGAATGAGGAATTCGATGAAGAGGAAACGATGGCAATGTTACCAGATCTACAATTATTACCACCGGATAAGGAGAGGGATAGTGATCCCGTTATCATGCAAACACATGTGGAAACATTGATGTTGCTCACAACCACAAGAGAAGCGAGAGATCTTATGAGGGAGATCAAGGTTTACCCAATCATCAGGGAATTGCATTTGAAGGTTGATCACGATGAAATGAGAGAGGCCTGTGAGAGGCTAGTACAGGTTTTGATGCGAGATGAGGAAGGAGAGGAGAAAGTGGACGCAGGCATGAAGTCTTTGGCCCGAAGATCTGACAAACCTTCTGCCTCGCCGAAACCATTCTCATCGCAGTCAAATGGTATAGCAGGAAGTTGGGCATCACAAGATGCAGAAGACCCTGCATCGGATTCGGATGATGAAAAAATAGTAGAAGTATAGATTTAGAATACTGAATATCAAAAGCTCATTTCCTCATTTGTCATACCCTCATACCGATGACATCTCACATTCCATCCGTATACATCAAATCCCCCCCTCCCCCCTATAATGTCTTTTCCCTAAACCACCCTCTCAACTCAAGGTAAAACTATTACTAACCGCCGTAAAGGCACTAATCTTGCCCAAAATATTCTTCGAATCCCCATTATACCTAACCCTATAGGTACCTGCTGTCGTTCCATCTCCAGTTCCCGTCTCCCAGCTCACAATCACACTACTAGTACCCGTCAAGCCATTAATTCTCGTCCACGTATACACCAGATACCAATCCTTATCATCTCTCACCGTTGTCCAATTACCATTCGAACCCAATTGTTCAACTGCCGTAAACGTACCTTCCAATCTTAAGTTATTGCGAGGATTAGCTCCCACAAATGTCGTGTTTACTACGGATCCGATCTTGTAGGATGCGGATGGTTGTACGGATACGCTGCCAAATGATCCACTATCATATGCTACTCCCGTTATGAAACTCAAACTCGAATTGACATTATTTGGTGGGCTGGGTCCCGGGGCAGGCTGACTGGTATTGGTGGCGGAGAGATATCCGATAGCGGATGTGGTGAGATGGATGTAAGCATCTAGTTCATGTTGGCCGAATAAAGTCGAGGCACCCTCGTAGCGTTGGATGGCATATTCTTCG